CTCAGACAAGCCCCGGGAAGGCTGCGCCCCCCAGGCATGGGCCCTGGCAGCACTCTGCATCGACACTGTCTCTTTGTGCGCTCTATTCGTGCGGCTCGGGAGCGTGGCTCCCTACTGGCTCAGTTAAGAGGGATCCGGGGGGCTTCCCCTCCGGATCCGGCTCAGCTGCATCAGTCCCTCTGCCCCACTTACATTAGGGGGTTCAGCTGCTGCTGCCCCTGCTGCTCCTGTGTTTGCCTCTGCTGCTGCTGCGTTCACCTCTGCTCTGGGTCCGGTAAGGGGCACACATGCATGCGGGACACGTGTGCCTAGATCCTTCCTCTCCCTGCTGCTCCTGTCTCCTGAGTGCCAGAGGGTTGAAGGGCCGGGGCCCACTGTGAGGAACGCCCAAGAGTGAAGGGCCTGGGGTTTCGACTAGCCTGGAGGTGGGCCAGGGCTAGTGAGCCAAAGGTCCCGGTGGGGGGATCACACCCAAAGGAGGATCAGTTCAGGGAGCTATGGTGCTCAGTATGATGGTGGAAGAGGCTGCCTGAGGGGAGGAATCCAGGTGGGGTTCAATAGGAGGATTCTGGGGCCCAGAGCGAGGGGCTGGTGATGATAAGAACATCGTGATGCCATCTGCTAGGCTTGGGCTGTGGTGTAGGGGAGGAAAGAAGCTGCAACTGGCACCCCCTGGCATCGAGGCAGAAAATGGACAGCCTCCTGCTTGATTAACATCTATTAACTAATTAACATCAAGGTGTGGCAGGAGAGAATGTGGGCAGTTAACCCAGGAACAGGTGGGCAAGCCACAGGGAAAGCAGCCCTGAGCAGGTCCCCTGTTACAGGCACGAATCCGCAGACAGGAGAGGGTATTACCACTAGATGGTCCTATTTGCACCTGGAAGAGTCTCACTGCCAGCTTAGGATCCACCAGCTCCTTGCGGTGCAAGTTGATGCCTTCTTGGTTCACAGAGTTTTATAGACTCCTGGCAGAGGAGCCCATGGTTTAATACCAGGAGGAATGGAATCAACTCTTACAGGATCTACCTCAGAAAACAGGAGAGGATTACTGCTTCTACTACCCAGGAGCCCAGGCCATGCAACTTTTACTTATAAGTTATTATCTAAGATCCACAAACCTGGCAACCCAGGATGCCCCATTGTCTTTGGCACTGACACCATCACAGAGGAAGTTTCTGGCTACATTGACTCTATCCTATTCCTATATGCTCCTGGAACTGCCAGCTATTTGAAAGACACTACAGATTTCTTTAAGAAACTAGGCTTCCCATGAGGATGGATTACAGCCCATAAATAATATTTATTATCCCCAGTTAGAGCGCTGCTAATGTTTCCATCACACTCCCCTGCTTTGTCCTCATGCAAAAATATTTTAGATTTCAGGACTCCCTATGCCTACAAATGAATGGCATTGCCATAATCACATGTATCTGCTCCTTGCCCCACCCCCATGTGCCAAAATATTTATGACAGACCTTGAAGTTCTTTTTTCCACAAGTGCCTCTCATTCTCTTGGCATACATCAGATACATTGATAACATCTTCATTGTGTGGGCTCATGGGAAGGACTGTAGAAAAATCTCATCAGGACTTCCATAACTTCTCCATCAAACTAACACTGGAATACTCTTCCTAGCTAATTCATTTTTGAGACACTATAGCGAAAGTTTCCAGTGTCCGCATTAAAACCACATTGTATCAAAAAGCAACTGACCACTGCCCCTACTTTCATGCCACTAGATTTCCCCCTACCCTCCTAAGCAGACTACTAGATGCACTGTCTATAACTAAGCTCTTCATTATGACAGTATCACTGTGCTCCCACTGACTGGGATGCATACATACGGATCTGGAGCACACATAAGGATTCCTGCAATTACAGTACTATCCCAAATCATAGAAACTCAAATCAACAAGGCCAGGCTCAGATCTTGCTCTGACCTGCTATAATACCAACTTCAGGACAAGGACAATGGGATTGTTCTGGTCAGGGAGCATAGTTGACAGGTCAAACACCTTAAACACATCAGCAATGACTTTCAATTCTACCCCCAACCCTCTCCCTCCCTGTCCTCCCTCACAGAAAAAGACAATTTATCTCAAGGTAGCCATGGTGGCTAAGCCTGTCCTGTCTTACAGGAAGCCCCCCACTTCAAACAGTCTCTCTCAAGCAACAGGATACTTACTCCCATTCTTACTGAGGCACCAGACCTTGCAACAGACCCAGATGCCAGCTGTGTCCCTTCATCATTTAGACCACATTATCCTTGGACTGAATAATGTGGATTACAACATCTGAGGTTCATTCACATGCAACTCTGCCAACATCATATTGGCCTCACCTGCTTACAGTGTCCTTCTTATGTCTATATTAGAGATGTGGAGTAATCTCTTTGTGAAAGAATGAATAAACACTGATCTGACATCAATTCCAGAAAGACACAAAGGCCTGTGGAAGAACACTTTAACCTCTGGATACTTTATTGCTGACCTTAAGGAAGTTGTTCCTAAGGAGAAAAACTTTAAAAAGCAAACTAAATGCAGAATAAGAAAAAAAAGGTAATCCCCCCACCTAAATTGCAGAACAAGAAATCATCCACAGACAATTAAGTATGGTTTAAATAGGGCCTATGGATTCCATTACCTGGATTAGCTTTTGTGACCCATATGTTCCTGTGTATTTATTGCTTGCTTGCTTCTCCCAGTACTGCTCTCCCCTTCTACCCTCTTCCCTCCCTTCCTCTCTTCTTTCTTTTTGTATTTAGGTTGCTCTCTTCATTTTATACATTGTTCTGTGCATGTCCTTTCACAGCATGTGATGAAGCACCCTGGGCTCAAAAAAGCTTATGCCAATTTATCTCTGATTTAGTTAGACTATAAAGTGCAAATATATCTGGCTTTTGCCTGACTTCAGACTGGCATGGCTAACTGTCTGTCTTTGCTCATTGTTTTTTTTTCCACAATTGAGGCAGCCATGTCAGAGCCCCCCCCCATGTCAAAAAAGTGATGGGTCTGCCCTCTACCATCCCTTCCCATGCAGCCAGACATTACATCAGCTGCCTTTGTGGTGTCTACAGCCTGTGGGGAGCCATACCCAGTGCCAATCCCAGCAATGGTGCCACTGCCTGAGGGCCCTACTTCATGCAGACACCATGCAGCTCCTGGCCAGTTTCCTGTGCACCAAGCCCAGATTTTGTCTTCCCATCCCATCCCTGCTACAGGCTAGCCTATATAATGCTCTGGTGGCTGAGGGCACATAGTCATAAGGCCCTAACAGCCATAATGACAGCTTGAGAGAGGGAGAGGAATCTCTATGGTGGAACAACCTTAGTAGAGTGGACTGGGACCAGATGAAGGTGTCATAGGTGGATCCAGAGACATCATGGAACTCCAGTTGGGACAGATGACCACATGGCATAGGTATGGTGCCTGTTGAGGAATCCATGGGGATCCTATGAAGGTCTGCTTCCTCACAGGGTGTTGACATATGTCTGGTCCATACTGTAAGAATTTGGCAATCTGGAAGAACTCTCTCATGGCGCATTGTTAGGAGTTGGGGTTGACACGGAATGAGATGAAGGCTAGGATGTATGGGATGAGGGCATCCTAGAACTGAATCAAGAAACTTGGGCACATGGCAGGGTTGACCCCACATGTGGAGCAAACACAAGTTTCCACTACTCATATTCTTAGCACAACTACATTTTCTAGTCTATGCAGAGCCTGAGGGTGTAAATGGATCAGGGTGCTTAATAAAATTGCTTTGGCTTGCAGATGCTCCCAAAATGGTGAAGAGCTCCTTTTACCATTCTCAGTGGCTTCATCGGCAATTTATGTGGCTGTAATGTAGCCATGTAGTTCATCTATACACATATATGAATTGCAATTCAATTCTGGAAGAAAAGGGAATTAGAATCACATTGAGGTATGCAGTATACTGAGTGACACTTTTACACCACTTTCAAGGCTATTTGCATTGATAAGATTCTGCCCCATATGTAGCTTTTGGAAAGTTTTTTAATTAGTAAACAGGGAGAATGGGAGGATTATATTCTAGGTTTGGATCAAGCCAAATAGTTCAATAAGGTAAAATACTAGTACTTATGGTTAGTCTTGTTTCTATATAACTTTGCTTTGTAGTTATTAATTTCCTAGAGATCTTGTGTGCTTGTGTGTGTTGTTCATACTTCTAGTACAGGGGTGGAGAGGGTGATGCAAGATTCCCCACTTAATCAGTTGTTATATTCTGTGCTTTTAATTTTTTTAATTGAGGGATAGTGTCTGGTAGTAAGGGATATTATGGTTTAAACATGTAGATAAAGGAAGAGAGTAATTTCACCCTGTCAAGGGAAATTTTTGTGCATATGGATGATGAGTGTGGTAAAGCACTGGCATAGGCTACCTAAGAAACAATATAATCTCCATCCTTAGAAGTTTTCAAGAGGAGGTTAGACAGACACTTGACTGGGATGATTTAGTCAGAGATGATCCTACCTTGAGCAAGGGACTGGGCTGAATGACTTCCAGCCCTACTTTCCTATGATCCCAGGATGTCACAGCTGTGGCAGACAGAGAGACAGATCTAGCTATGGATCAATTGTAGGTGCTTCTATTAAGGCATCATGTCTATAAATGGGTGCCTGGCCTCAGAAGGACAATCTGAATAGACAGGGTTAGGCACTTAGGGTCCCTATAAACTCAATGGCATGAGTCTGGTACCTCAAAGTACAACTGGCAACTGAGAGCCAACATTCCCTCTAAGGTATAGCAGATCATGAGCGTGCTGTGACGGTCCATGAGCACACCACGTCGGTCTGTGAGCGCACAGTGTCTGTTTGTTCCTGAATTGGTCCTGCCTCCCCTTTTTGGTGCGCACTGCTTCGGTCCACCCCAGAATTGCCTTCTTGCTCACTGCTTATTTGTGTGTTCTTTCCCTGCATTTATGCTGATGCTCCCCGAGCAGTCACCGTTTTATTCACCCTTTGAGGAAATTTCCCGTACATTTAATTTCCCCTACAGTAAATTAATGCTAGAACCAGTACTGTGCATTTTGTAACCATGAAGATTCCTTTTAGGAACATAACACAGTCAATTAAATGCTGGGTTTTTTCATTCCTATATCATATAAATAGTAAATATAATATATTTATAAAATATAATATGTAGTGTTCCATTAACAGATTGTAAAAGTCCAAATGAAATGAATCATAACAAAATTACCGAAGCCAAATGTTTTTACATGATGGAGAGGTTTCAGCATCATCAGTTCAAAAAAATATTTTAACTTTTCCCAATTAAAACAAGCAAACAAACAAACAATGAAATAGAAATGGACTTGTGAAATGGTTCGATTTCCATAAAGATCAATCACTGACAGAAAACTGCCTTCCTTTGTATTATGGGGCACTGTCATTTTCTCAGGATCTGCTGAGCATACATTAGATACTATTTCTCTGTTGCAGTATTAGGGCATTAGTAGTGCTCTCCCCTCTTCTGCTTTTGCCTCTGGCAGGTTACAGCAGGTTCTTGGTGTTTTTGGTATTTTACCTGGTAGCTGCATGTGAAGATTTGGGGGAATTTCTTGCATTTTCAGGATTCTAACTCAATTGCTATCCTATGTTCTATGTCCCCTCACACCTCCGGCTCATAAACCTGTGAACAAACACTGGTTCTACTACCTATGTTCTTTGAAACTGTTTTTACAAACAGTTTAGTTAAGTACATCTTAGTGCAGAGATGGGTCAGACTAAGAAGGATCCCCCTTGCTGCGGATGCAGCTCCCCTGAGTGCTAGCTAGCCCCCACCCCTGCCTCACCTTTGGGAGCAAGGAGGCACTCCTTGGGGTTAGGAAGCAGAGCACTTGCCCCGGAGCTGGCAGAGCAGTTCCCCAGAACCATCCGTCAGCCCCTGCCTCATCTTGGGGAGCAAGGAGGAACTCTGCCCCAGCCCTAGCCCTGTCCCTGTCCCCGTCCCCACCCCCACCTCACCTTGGGGAGGAGCTGCTGCCTTCCCTGTGTGAGAAGCTTACCTCCGTGTAATGTCCCGCGCCAGCCAGGGTGCCTCTGCCACGCTCCATGCCCAGCTCCTGCCTAAAAAGTTAGTGCGCGGCAAGATTTTAAATCATGCTTGGCCACACATGCGCACAGCTTAGATGGAACCTTGCTGAGAGCACATTGTTGCTCAGCAGAAGAATGGCAAGAGCATGCCAATAAGAAATACCAATGTGTATGGGTTCCCATCCTTCAAGAGCTTGGGCCTGTGTCTCAGGGCTACACATGAGGTGCCTCCATTCACTTGGTACCCATGGACCAAAGCAGAGCTTAGACTGTAAATCTATGGCACAACATGGAAGACATTCCCCTGGGATAGGAAGATCCTTGTTCTAGTCCTTCCTGCCAGAACTGTTTATGAATTTCACATTAAACAATCAGTGGTTTAAAAACAGATATAATCCTGGTACCGCCTTGGCACATCTACATGAGTCACCCACTGCACAGTTGTTACTGCGCAGTCATTCAGTACTTGCATAACCAAGTACTAAACGGCTGTGCAGTAACCAGCATTACTACAAAGCAGTGTCCTGGAACAGTTGCCTGGTGATGCTTACTTTGCAGTAGTTTATTACAGCTGTGCAGTAGTGTTGCATCACAGTTAATGCCCAGTGATGCTACTGCACAGTAACAAGCTACTGTGCAGTAACTGTCTCATCTAGTTGCACCCCCTGAGTCCTTCTTTTTGATGCCTTACATATTTAGGATCTGGCCATGGATCCCAAAGGAATGAAAGCATTTAACATGCAGCCCTGATTCAGATGCTGTCACCTCCTTGATGAAGTTGGCCTAGTGGGCAGCCAGGAACTGTGGACCAGAAGGAGAACCAGCAAGAGGGGACCTGATTCTACAGCACAGTAGTGAGAGCACCTCCACAGCAGGGTTGGGTGTAGTTCTGATTTGTGCTCCCAGGTCTCTTTATGCATTTTACATCAGATTGCCATTGACTCAGCCAGGTCTAATTGTTGCTATAATCATAATGCAACAAAACAGTCATTTGCAAGTTTCTTTATTTACCTAAACTAATTGAAGATGATTGCCCTTTCTGTATTTCACTGGGTTAGTAGACTTGATGTACTAGAATTAGCTTAAGGCTTTGGCTTCCATGACCACAGTCTGCTCTTTGGTGAGAGAGGCAGTGAGCTGCTGGGAAGGGATGGTCTCCACCTCTCTCCGCTGGGGAGGAGTCTCTTCTCAGCCAGACTGGCTGATCTGCTCTACTGGGCTTTAAACTAAGCCCACCAGGGGATAGAGGGGACTACTGCCACTGCTGGCCCACTGAGCAAACCTTGCAAAGCCAGCAGGCCAAGGCACTTAAGGAAACCCACCCCTGCCCCAGCCCTGGAGTGAGCTGTGGGCAAGGCAAGGACCCCCAAAGGGGGTGTATGCCTATACACAAATGCCAGGAGCTTGGAGAATAAACAGGAGGAACTTGTCCTCCTGCTTAACACAAATAACTATGATGTCATAGGGATAATGGAGACCTGGTGGGACTCCACCCATGACTGGGCCACAGGTATAAATGGCTATACCCTGTACAGGAGGGATCAAGGGGACAAAAGTAGCTCTCTATGTCAAGGAAAGCTATGTGTCCCTGCAAGCTGACATTGGTGCCCTGGGTGGACAACTGAACACCCTATGAGTTAAAATCTATTGGGGAACACAACACAGGGGACACAATGGTAGGAATCTACTACAGACCTTCTGCCCAGGATCAAGAGCTTGACCAGGAGTTCATCAGGGAATTGGCTGAGGCCACACCCTCCTGGTGCGTGGTTGTCATGGGAGACTTCAACTACCCAGACATCTCATGGGAAGAGCACTCAGCCAAATCCAAGTGGTCACAAAGCTTTCTCTCATGAGTGGATGAGCTCTATCTGATGCAAGAATTTGACAGGCTGATGAGAGGTAAAGTGCTGCTCAACCTGGTTCTGGAATTGGGGGATGACCTAATCAGTGACCTAATGATTGAAGGGAAGCTGGGTGACAGTGACCACGAGCTGACCACCTTCACCATCTGCTGTAAAGCTGGCAAGTCAGTCAGCAATACAGAAGTCCTTGATTTCAGGAAAGTGGACTTTGACAAGCTTAGGAGGCTTGTCAGGAAGGCCCTAAAGGACCACAACCCAAAGGGAAGGGGAGTTCAGGACAAGTGGTTGTTCCTCAAAGGAGCGATCCTGGAGGTGCAAGCAAAGTCTATCCCATCTTGGAGGAAAGGCAGCAAAAGGGCACAGCAGCCCCCTTCGCTCTTCAGGGAACTACTTGACCTCCTGCGGCCAGAAAGAGTCCTACAAATGATGGAGGATTGGATCCACCTCCAAGGCAGAATACTCTGCAGTGGTCCAGACCTGCAGGGAGCGAACCAGGAAAGCCAAGGCTGTGGTGGAACTCCAGTTAGCTACAAGTATCAAGGACAATAAAAAGTCATTTTTTAGATATGTGGGGAGCCGGAGGAAAAGCAAGGGCAACATTGGACCCCTGCTAAACCAGATGGGACAACTGACAACCGATGCCCAGGAAAAAGCAAACTTGCTAAATGGGTACTTTGTATTGGTCTTTCACCAGTCCCATGGGACATCCCTGCCCATTATGGGACAGGGAGGCCCGGGTGAGGGAGATTCCTTACCCCCCATCAATGCTGACCTCGTGAAGGAATACCTTGAGAGGCTGGACACATTCAAGTCAGCTGGCCCTGACAGTTTACACCCCAGGGTACTCAAGGAGATGGCTAGCATCATAGCTCAACTCCTGGCACAGATCTTCGAGAACTCCTGGTGCTCTGGTGAAGTGCCCAAAGAGTGAAAGAAGGCTAAGTGGTGTCTATCTTTAAGAAAAGGAGGAAAGTGGATCCAGCAAACTATAGGCCCAACAGCCTGACCTCTATCCCGGGGAAGATCTTAAAAAAGATTATCAAAGAGGCCATTCTTAATAGACTGGCCACTGGCAACATCCTGAGGGATAGCCAGCACAGGCTTGCTGTGGGTAGGTCTTGCTTGACCAATCTCATTTCTTTCTACGACCAGGTGACCTATCACCTGGACAAGGGAGAAGAGATTGATGTCATATATCTTGACTTTAAAAAAGCCTTTGATCTGGTATCCCATGATCACCTCTTGGTAAAACTGACTAACTGTGGCCTCGGCCTCACCACGATCTGCTGGCTGGGGAATTGGCTCCGTGGTAGGACCCAGAGTGTGGTGGTTGTCAATCGTCATGGTGCCCTGTGATCAGTGGGGTCCCCCAAAGCTCTGTCCTTGGGCATATAATATTTAACATCGTCATTAATGATGTGGACCTTGGTATCAGAAGTGGATTGGCCAAGTTCACTGATGACACCAAACTTTGGGGTAAAGCATCCACACCTGAGAACAGGAGGGTGATCCAGGCAGACCTTGACAGATTCAGGAAATGGGTGGATGAGAACCTGATGGTGTTCAAAACCAAAAAAAGTTCTCCACCTTGAAAATAAAAACCTGCAGTATACTTATAGGCTTGGCAGTGCTACGCTGGCTAGCACTACGGATGAAAGGGACTTGGAGGTCATGATTGACCACAAGATGAATATGAGCCACCAATGTAATGTTGTAGTTGGTAAAGTGAGCAAAACTCTGACTTGCATCCATAGATACTTCTCAAGCAAATCCCAGGACTTCATTCTCCCATTGTATTTGGCCTTGGTAAGGCTGCAGCTGGAGTACTGCGTCCAGTTTTGGGCTCCACAATTCAAAAAGGATGTGGAGAAGCTTGAGAGGGTGCAGAGGACAGCCACATACATGATCAGATGTCAGGAAAACAGACCTTATGATGACAGACTGAGAGCTATGGGACTCTTCAGCCTGGAAAAGCTCAGGCTTAGGGGTGATCTGGTGGCCACCTATAAGTTTATCATGGGTGCTTACCAGGATCTGGAGGAACGTTTGTGCACCAGAGTGCCTCAAGGGATGACAAGGCAGAGTGATTACAAACTCCTCCATGACCATTTCAGGCTGGACATAAGGAATAACTTCTTTAGTGTCTGAGCCCCTAAGGTTTGGAATAGATTGCCACCAGAGGTGGTTCAAGCATCTACTCTGAACACCTTCAAGAGACATCTGGATGTTTTTCTTGCTGGGATCGTATGATCCCTGCTGTCTTCCTGCCCCTGGGGCAGGGGGCTGGACTCGATGATCTTTCAAGGTCCTTTCCAGCCCTAATGTCTATGAAATATCTATGAAATATTTCTATGAAATTAAAATAGGTTTAGGCCATTTATAATCGGGACATTGTCCTGGATTTCTGGGTTTTACTGAACTAATAAGATTATTTAGAAAAAAAAATCTTTTTTAACTAATATATCTTCCAAA